GATCTACAAAAATGAACATTATTGCTGGTCAGTGGTGTCGCACACCTTTCGTCCAAGTGCTTGGGAGACAGAGGCAGGTGGATCTCTATGAGTTCAGGGCTACCCTGGTCTGCAGAGTGAGTTCCAGGACAGCCAGTGCCACACACAGAGAAACCCTGTCGGGGTTGGGGGGGTGGAGATGACACATTATTTAGCTCAGTAACGACAGGGCTGATTGTCCCATGGGAAGGACCCATATAAATGCACATATAATACTTCCAGCCAGCTCAGGACCCAGGGCTGAGTAGAGAATCTGGAAAGGTCCCTCCCAGACAGCAAAGGAGGCTCTTCAATCTTCCTCGTCAACTTCCTTCCTTTTGCCATCTGGCTCCAAACTAGATCTAATTAACTCAAAGCGACATGTCAAAGGCTAGCCGCAGACATCTGCACTGACACTCCGTGAGGATGAGGCGGGAAAGAAGGAAGCAGACAGAGAAGAATCTAGTACCCCCAGGGACTGCTTCCCATGTACTGTCCTGCTTATTCTCCACTGAGCTGGGACCCCCTGTAAACTGGAAACTAAAGTCTGCCAGGCACAAAAGCAACACAGGTGACAAAAGGGAGCTTTGAAGAGCAAACAATAGATTGTTCTGACTCAAACTTTGGCCCAGAGAGACCGTGACTCAAATACACACGGGCAGGTCAAACACCCTGGGGGCCAAGCTGCCGGCTATGGCAGCGTTTTGGAGCTGTGGACAGAAGCAGCACAGTCCTAAGGGTTCCAGACTTCGAACAAGGAGTGTAGGGTCCTACAGTGAACAATGGTCATGCTTCTGATACTCCCCGTATACACTTTATACACAGGACGTGATCCACGGAGACATCCCCCCCACAAAAAAACCACCACCACCACCAACAACAACAACAAAAACCATTTATATTTAGTTAGCAAACTCCTGGAAATGAGATGGGAGAAAAAAACAAGTGGGAGCTGGCAAGACACTGATCTAGCCCTAAAGTCACTAAGGAACAGAGCATGATGAAGTTCAGCTATCTCAAAGAAGTCGGTCATGGTGGCACACAGATGGGTACTTCAGAGAGGATCAAAGTCAGCCTCGGAAGTCTGAAGCCAACCGAGACGATACAGACCTTGTCTCAAAACAAAACACAGGCAGGGCGTGGTGGCGCAAGTCTGTAATCCCAGCACTTGGGAGGCAGAGGCAAGCGGATCTCTGTGAGTTCCAGGACAGCTAGGGCTGTTACACTGAGAAACCCTGACTTGGAAAAAACAACAAACAAACAAACAAACATCCATACAAACAAAATCCCTCAAGATTGTCAAATGTGGTGTAATTCTGGTAGCCTGCTCTACATACTGAGTTCAAGACCAGCCTGGACTACAGAGTGAGAGCCTATCTCAAACAAACTTACACAGGATATCACAAGGGCCTGGGGATGAATGAGAAAGCAGCTTCCCCCTGAACATGGCTTCTACTCAAGATCCACAGACAAAAATGATCTAATTTGCACACCTAGTTCTAAAGAAAGATCGATGTTGTTCCCATTTTAGCACTACAGGACTTCGAACCTCAAAGAATGAAATGTAGCTTTAACAACCCAGCAAAAAAAAAAAAAAAGGAACAACAACACTACTTTGTGGGTACATTCCCGAAAGAGAAACTACAGGCTGCTTACCTACGCGGTCATATTCACAGCAGCAGCATTCACACTAGAAAAGAACGGGAACCATCCAACTACCTTCAACACAGGAACAAACAAGACTCGGCACAGTCATGCAGTAGAATATTACCCACCTATAAACAGGAATGGAATCCTGACACATGCTTCAAAGGTGTAAGACATAAAAGGCCACATTATTATGATTCAGCCTCTGTGAGCACTTATACGAGGAAACAGAGTACAGCACAACCCTCCAGCACTGGAGGAGGGGAACAGGAGTTCTTGTTTAATAAACAGAAAGTTTCTGTCTCAAAGAGTTTGGAAATGAAGCCAGACATAGTGATCTACTCCTATAACCAAAGAATTTGAGAAACTGAGTTCCAGGCTTGCCTGGGCTATACATAGCAAGATCCCATCTCAAAATAAAAATCTGAGTGCTGGGGCAGGGTATAATGGCATAGGTATGTAATCCCAACAAGGAAGCAGAGGTAGAAGGATGACAAGTTCAAGGCCACCCTTGTTATATAGTTAAACAAAGAAGAAAGGCTGATGTAGTAGGTAATAGAGTACTTGCCTAGCATGTGAGATGCCCTGGGATTCTTGCCCAGGATTCAATCCACAGCATCACCAAAACCAAACCAAACCAACACCACCATCCTCGCCTGACACACACACACACACACACAGGAACATACTACAACAACTATAGGCCATTAAAGGATAAAAACAGGACCACTTCAAACAATTTTTTCCTGATTTTTCAGGGTTTCTCTATATAGCTCTGGCTGTCGTGGAACTGGCTCTGTAGCCCAGGCTGGCCTCAAACTCACAGAGATCCACCTACCTCTGCCTCCTGAGTGCTGGGATTAAAGGTGTGTGCCACCAAACCCAGTGACCATAAAATAAATCTTTTAAAAATTTATTTTAGAAATAATAATAAGGTAGCATTCAATTCAAAAATACCATTCAATATATGATAGGAAATACAAATTTTATTGAAAGAGCTCTTTAGTTGTGTGTGGTCTGGGGCTGATTTTCTACAAAACCGCCGAAGTGTCTTGAAGGGAATCATGTGGCTGGCAAATCTGAAACATTTTGAGGTTTTCTGAGCCCAAGCCTGTCACATTTATCTGGTACTACCACCGTTATCCCTTATCCCACCTCAAAATCACTGTTGCTTCTGTCTGGAAAGTTCCCCCATTATATCTCAGAACCACCTAGGTCATACCTTAATCTTAAATATTACCTCTTTAGTAGTCTCTCATGGCTACCTTATAACTCTCTTATGTCATCATGTTTTCTTTGACATGTCACTTACACTTCACTTACTGCAGTTTCCTTAGAGTTTAGCCCAGTGCCTGACTTACAGGAAGCTTTCAGTAAATGAGGAACAAACAGACAAACAATCCCTCAATATGTCAGCACTGAGTGTGAGTACACCACAGAGTGGACATCACTCTGGTGTGCATGTTACTGCTCAAGGGACATATAAGAGGAAGTTCCAAGAGAGCCTAGGTGGGGAGGAGCCTGTGGCTGCCTCGGATATCTCGTTTTGACCAGTAGGTGGATGTGGAACAGGCACTGGAGTGGGACACAGTTGGGACAGAGAAAGTGTGGAACCTCAGGGCTGGGAGTCTGTTGTCTGTGACCGAGACACTTCAGCCGCCTGTAGTGAAGCCATTGCTTTAACCAGCTGGCGAAACAGACCACAGCACAGAATCCCTCAGACAGTTCAGTTCCCAAACGGAGTTCGGAGTATAGAAGTCCTGCTGCAAGACGCCTGCTAGCCCAGAACAGCGTCCAGTAATACCCAACCCTGGTCATGAAGAAGCAGGGGGACCAACTAATGGAGAAGAGAGGCAGTGGCCCAGGCCTGTAGCCACCAGCAGAAACAGGTGGGAGGCAGAAACAGGTGGAACTCTATGAGTTCAAGGCTAGTCTGGCCTACACAGTGAATTCCAGGACAACCAGGGCTAGGTAGAGAGATCTTGACTCAAAAATAAATAAATAAAAAGACACAGAGAGAGAATGGACTCCACACAGTTGTCCTTAACCTCCACATGAGTGCCATGGCCTGCAACCGTCCCAAACTATAATAAATAAATAATATTTAAAAGAATTATTCTTTCAAAAAAAAAAAAAGAAAGAAAGAAAGGGGGAAGCGGGGGCAGGAGGGCCAGAGCCAATAGGGAAGAAACCTAACCCAGGCATTTGGAGAGGGAAGTGCAAAGAAAAGAAAAAGAAATGGCCTCCTTGAGCAAAACTTGGAGCAAAGGCAGACAAGTGGCCCCTCAGAGCACTAAATGTCCCATCATCATGACAACACGAAGCCAGCGTCAGGGCAGGTCTCCCCAGGCCAACAGTCCCTGAACCAACTCAGTTCCCATGCGGGGCCAGTGGCAGCTCTGGTTTCCCTGAAGTGAACCAGGCGCCCTTCTAGAGAGCTAGGTTGCTTGCAGCCAGGCAAAGCCTTCAAAGTAAACCCCAATCTTATAAGGGAATTCCTGGGCAGCAAAGACACCCAAGAGAGCTAACTGAGGTATTGATGTCCTTGCCTCCACCTGCACCTCCCAAGGAAAGACCAGGAAGAAAGGCATGCTTAGGGGTCAGCTAGCTTTGTTCTGTCTCCCGAGTCTGGGGCAAGCCAATACTCACCTCTCTTCGGCACCCGTCATAATTAATCCTCCTTGCCTCAAGCCTCCGGGACTGGCACAGCCAGGCACCCAAAGAAGCCCAAACACTTTTCACAGGCTGGTCTACATTCCTCTCCTAACCACAATCCATGAGGCACAGCCTCCAGGCGAGGGCACTCGAAGCCTTAAGAGGCTCTAGCGTGCGCTTTACTGAACTCCAAAGCCCACACGAAGCAGAGCCAAGTCCCTTCGCTGCCCTCATGTCAGAATGAAGACCGTCGGTCGACCTACCTGACCAACAGGTTGCAAGAACTACCTTCGCTGTTGGGTTTCACCAAACACCCTCCGCTGGCCGCCTCGCTGGCGCCCCTTCTGCAGGCCCCTCACGACCCGTTCCACTGCCCCGCAGGGCCAGCTCCGGGCCGCACAGACAGCAGCGCCGGCTCACCCGCCGTGCCCCGCCCCGCCGCGCCGCGCCGGGCCTCGCCCCGACGGCTCCTACGTCCCCACACAGGACCGACCCTCACCTACGACCGCCGGCCGTCTCACCTGGAGCCCGGCTAACCGCTTCCTGGACCCGGCCCGGCCGACCCTGGGTCCCGGCGCTGCTCCAGGCGCCGCGGGGGGCGGGCCCCGCGCCCATCCTCGCCATGGCAACGCGACACTTCCGGCCCGAGGTGTCCGGAGCGGAAGCCGCGGTGCTGGGTGGGAGTCCTGGGCAGAGCCAGTCTACAAGGGCGGGGCCTAAAGAGCGCCCTCAAGGGGCGGGGCCAGCCCTGGTAGATTGGTTGATAACTGTGGAAGGCTTTTCGTGCTCTGTTCTGTGGCATGAATATACACTGGCATCTCGGGTGGGGCAGGAAGGGCACGTGTTCAGGTGTTCCCGGAAGGGTGATCTCTGTCCTGGTCTTTGAAAGACAGGTTGGAGTCTTTCCTTCAAAGCAGAAGCATCGTTGTTCAAAGGAGGGAACAGCGTATCCCAGGAGATGGGCAGCAGTTTGCATGATGGTTGGGCCCTAGGACACTATGGTCAGGGAGAAGCAGCCAGGATGTGGACCTTTGGATGTCGGACCCAGAAGCCAGGCTTTAGCCTGGAAGCAAGGAAGGACCAGTGGAAAGGGGAGATCTCAGACTTGTAGGAGAGAATGACTTGTCTGCTGATAGGGCTGAGGCCAGCGGTATTTGCCTGGCGAGACGGCACAGGAACCCTCAGCTAGAGCCCTGAGAACGGAAAGCAGAGGGGCAGGAGGTGATAGGATTCCAGGGGAAGGCAGATGAGGGCTGAAAAAAAAAAAGTCTGGGATAAGATCCCAACTCAGCCAGGAGTATGAGAGTCAGGAGAAGGGAAGTCCTACTACATCCATCCTTCATGTGTGCCCCTCCCTCACACACACGCACACACACACACACACACACACACACACACACACACACACACACACACACACACACACACACTGCTTCCCTCCTGCTCTCATGACTGTGCCTTCCTTGGTACCAGCAAGGGGCCCGGTCCAGTCCTTTGATGGTATACTGGGAGGTTGCACAGGAAAAGGTGAATTCTCAAAGTGGCTAATGCTGATGTAGGTCTGGGACCTACATTGACTCTGGCACCAACCTCTGCTGTCAGTGCCAGGATTTAGACCCTCATTGCAAACCTGCCCAGGGAGAACTTGGGTAACATTTGGAACATAAATGGTGACTGAGCTCAAGGGTAGAGCTACCGGTTAGATGGCCAGAGAAGAGGTAGGGCCCACATGGGCTCCTGTAGCATACACCTGGAAAAATAACAAGTCTCTGTCCGTCCCTTGTTAATGGGGACATGCTGTATGCCTTTTTGGTCCAGGAAGTTGTCCCTCACTCCATCTGCCCATCTGTCCACCCTCCACCCCTAGCCAAGTCCTGGGCTGCAGACCCCCAACCTAAGGTATGACTTCTTTTGACTACTTTGTCTTGAATTCCTGGGAATTCCCCTATCTCTCTTGGGGTAATTTGGCTGGGGAAGTCACTTCCCATCTGTTAAATGGGAGCTAGGGACCTGACCCAGGCAGATAAGGTATCCTGGGGTAGACCTTTTTCAAGGGCTTTTCCTTCCAGGTTATAGAGGGATGCCCAGGTACCCAAAGCCAGCCTGGGCGTGGAGACTGATTTCAGGAGGTCACCAAAAGTCCCTACTGGAATCTTCTCTGCCCTTCCCTCCAAGATTAACCGAAACCTGCTAATTGTGGCAGCCCTCACATGTTCCCCTCCCCCACAGCCTCTTCCTCTCACCCCTCCCCCTTCCATCAGAATGATAAAGAAAGGAGGGACTGGCCTGCCTGTCCCAGCATGGCTTCAGGCTGGGACCCAACCTCGACACACAGGGTCTGGTCCGTCTGCCTTGAGCCCCCTGTTAGGCCAGACTCCGGCCCAGGGCTGCCTTCCTTGCATGGAGCCTTGCAGCAACTCTCAACTGAGACCTCCAACGGCAGAGTCTCCCCCCAAGAGGAGGAAGAAGAGATACCTGCGGCATGACAAGCCCCCCTACACCTACTTGGCCATGATCGCCTTGGTAATCCAGGCCTCACCCTTCCGCAGGCTGAAGCTGGCCCAGGTGAGAGGGTCCCCCATGGTTGTGGGTCATACCTATCCCAGACCCTCTCCCCACTTACTGGAGGCCCAGGCTCGCTCGGCCTCTACCTAGCCCACTCCTCCTTGCCTGTGAGACCAGTCCTGAGAGCTCAGGGACTCTCTTCAAGACCCCTCTTCTTCCACAACCCCTGCCCACTCTGCCCTCAGGCACAGAGGTCTGTCTCTCTGTGAAGGGGTGCCCTGGGGCCAGCTGTAGGGGAGGGAGAGGGCGCTGCCCTCATCCCTGTCTCACTGTGGCAAACGCTGCCTGGTTTCAGATCATCCGTCAGGTCCAGGCAGTGTTCCCCTTCTTCAGGGACGACTATGAAGGCTGGAAGGACTCCATTCGCCACAACCTGTCCTCCAATCCATGCTTCCGTAAGGTAGGGTGGTCTATGGTCAAACCCTGGGGACGGTGTGGGCGAGGGAGGGAACTCTGAACCTCTGGGTGGGATAGCCACACCCAATCCAATCACTCTCTAGGTGCCCAGGGACCCTGCAAAGCCCCAGGCCAAGGGCAACTTCTGGGCGGTGGATGTGAGCCTGATCCCAGCAGAGGCGCTGCGCCTTCAGAACACTGCCCTGTGCCGGCGATGGCAGACCCGGGGCAAACACAGAACTTTCGTCAAGGACCTGAGCCCCTACGTGCTCCATGGCCAGCCTTATCAGCCACTCAGTCCCCCACCACCATCCAGGGAAGGTTTCAGCATCAAGTCCCTGTTAGGGGACCCTGGGAAAAGATCAACATGGCCCCAGCAGCCTACACTAGCTGGACAGAGCAGCGCAGCTCAGGCAGGCACCTGGTCCAAGGGGGGAGAAGGGATGTGCACTGTACCCCCTAACTCCTCTGAGAAGCCTCTGTGGCCCCTGTGCTCCCTTCCTGGGCCCACGAGAATAGAGGGTGAATCTTCCCAAGGGGACGTCATCAGGCCCTCCCCCCTTTCCCCAGAGCAAGGCACCTGGCCTGTCCACTTACTTCAGGGTTCCCCAGATCCCATGGGAATGTCCAACAGGGGGTGCAGGGCTCCCTTGTGGGGACAGCTCCCCACTTCTTACTTGCCCGTCTACACTCCCAATGTAGTAATGCCCTTGGCCACACTACCTCCTACTTCTTGTTCCCAGTGCCCATCTTCAAGCAGTCCAGCCTACTGGAGTGTAGGCACTAAATCCCAAGAGTCCCAGGACCTGCTCAGTGATCTCGATTCCCTCTTCCAGGGAGTACCACCCAACAAGAGCATCTATGACGTGTGGGTCAGCCACCCTCGGGACCTGGCTGCTCCTGCCCCGGGCTGGCTGCTCTCCTGGTACAGCCTGTAACAGTTCAAGGCAGGCAGGGGCTGCTTCTCCCTTCCACCCCTGGATACCATTTTGATGGGAGAACCAGAGTCAGGAGCATGTCCACAGCAACAGCTTTAAAACACCAGGCACATCAGGCCTTGCTGAAAACCCACAACTTTAATTGGGTTACTCCAGAAAGGTTGCCTCTGCTAGATATGACATGATCTGGCCAATCATGCCTTCGACTCTCCCCCACACAGGGACCGGGTCTGGAGAAAGTGCTCAGGCTAGAGTAGTGCTTCTTTTCTTGATCCCACCTTCTCAGGCCTTCATGCCATCCATCTATCCAGCCCTCTGTCACCACGCCTTCCTGGCTCCAGGCTGGGGGAGGGAGAGCCAAAAGCGGGTCCAATCTGAAGTCTTGCCCCCCCCCCCCACCTCAGCTGCCTGGGTAGGAGGTAGCACCTTTTGGGGGGGGAGGGTTAGGAAATGAAAGACTGGACCCTACATGATTTGTGGGGGATGGAAGTAGGGGAGAGGTCAACAGTAAAGGAATTTACAACACTTTAATTCCAAGTCTGATATTGGGGGCAGGGTGGTGACTTGGGAAACCACTTGGTCCGGGGTCTGGTTCCTGCAGCTCTGGGTTCCCTGCTGTGTGCTGTGATAAGGGCAAATGGTGATAAGGTGAGAGCTGAGGGCCTGTGGCCCACTTGGGGGTGGAAGGGTGGAGGCAATCATTTCTCCAAGCACAACATTCCCTGGCCAGATCCAGAAGGGCAAGGGGGAAATTGTGGGACTCTGGGGGGCAGCGAGGGCCTGAGTGTAAAAAGAAAAGAAAAAAAAAAGGGTTGACCTGGGAGACGGGGTATAGGAACTTCACTGGCCCTCTGCCAGCAGAGGTTCGCGCTCAAGCCCAGTCCTAGGGGCTCTGACCCAGATCTACGGAGGCAGGTCCCCTGGAGGCTCAAGAATCAAGCCAGGACAGCTGTTGGGGCTGGGACTTGGAGGGGTGCCAGGAGATGGTGTAGGGGTGCAGGAAGTCCCAGTGAGTGGGGTGTCGGTACTGAGAGAAGAAGGGGTTCCAGAGCGTGGGGCCCTCCGGCGCCGGGCTGGCCCCAGTTCCACTTGACCCACTCGCTCCGCGAACTTGAGCGAGCAGATGGTCTCGCCAAGATCTTCGGTCCTCGTGGAGATCTGCAAGAGAGGGGCCACTCAGACATAGTTCCGGTGCGCAGTGCTTCAGGCTTGCACCGGCCCCGGGCCCCACCTGCAGCAGCAGCACTGCGGTGGTGCCTGCGCCAAGCGCGGGCTGTAGCAGGCGTGTAAGCTGGGAGTCTCGGAACGGTACGTGCGGCCGCCGAGCTCGGAGGGCCGCCATCACTCCCCCTAGGGCCAGCAAAGAGCGGTTGATGGCCTGGGCCTCCCGCAGGCGCCGGGCGCCATTCGGATCCCTCTGTAGCGTGCTGGCCACCCCCGCTTTCCACACACGCTCGGATCCTGCCAGGTCCACCAGGTGCAGTGTGCCTGCAGGTGCAAAGAAACCCATGTGGAGGGAGCCCTCTAGTGATCTCGAAACCCAGCAGGGGGACTTAAGCACCATCAGTGATACCTGTGATACCCTGGGCGCGAGGTGGAGATGCTGCACGCAAAGTCAGCGTAACTAGGGCGTGGGAGCGTGAGCTGTGCTGGTTCATGACCGTGGCTGCTGTAGCTCGGTTGCTCCTCCCCAGACTCAGCATCTGGATATATGTGTGTGTGTGTATATATATATACCTGATATATACATATATACCATATATATATATATATATGTATATATATATATATATACACACACAGTCCCTGCCCCCCAGGTGGAAGCCGACAGGGGCCCTGAAGAGGGCATCCTTACCTGGTGCAGGGTTTCCAGGTTAGGCACATCCCAGTGTGTGAGGCCAGCCACTTGAATTCCCCCTTGCCCTGCAGGCCCCTGCCTCACAACCAGGCGCTCTGGAGGCCCTGTAGCTAGGAGGTCCCTGGTGAGAAAGGGTGGGCTTTGATCTATGGGTCTACAGGTGGCTGCAGAACCCTGGGGCAAGGAGAGAGCCGCCCACGCATCCCTGACCTGACTGCCTCGTTGTAGATCTCCACCATGCTGAGGGTCACATGGTGGTGCCCTCCAGTCCCCATCTCCCGGAACAGCAACTGCAGTGCCCTAGGAGCTATGCCAGGGTCCTCAGGTGGGCCCTGAGGACAGTGTGCAGTGCCACATTGGACTCTCATACAAACCCCTGAGGCTCCCCACCTCCCACCCCCAAGTGTGAACTCCAACCCACCTCCATGCTGTAGGTTTTCCCAGTCCCAGTCTGACCATAAGTGAAGATGCAGACGCTGTAGCCCTGCAGGCAAGACAGCACAGCTGACTCTAGCTGCCTGAAGACCTGGGGACAAAAAAAACGGTGGGAAAAGTGTCTTCAGCTCTTCCCTGTTCCCTAGTCAAGACCCGGAGGTAAGTGCAATCAACAAAATGTAGGCCAAGTGTAATTACCCTGGAAAGTGGCTCTAAGAATTGGTGGGGAGGGGGCATCACAAAAAGATAGCAGTCTGGGAGAAAATGCAGAGTCCTAGGGACCAGTTAGGAGGTCCTGGGGGAGTGGTCAAGAGCTTAGATGCCAGGGCTGGACTTCCAGGTTAAGCCAGATATCAATCATCCTTTCTATGTTTTTCCGGGTCATTCCTCTAGGGCAACTAATAGAAATGTGTGCTGGAGAACCTGAGTGGTACGGGACAAGAAAAGAATAAACCAAAGCAGGAAGTGGGGGTTCACACCTTAACCCTCAAGAAACAGAGGCAGGCAGAGCTCTGAGCTCGAGGCCAGCCTGTCTCATAGCTAGTTCCAGACCAGCCAGAGTGAGACCCTATCTAAAAACAAAAAGGTCAAAAAAAATCCAAGAGGGCCTCTGTGAGTACAGGGTTAGTCACCTGGGAAGACCACAGGAACTCTGGCTCTGAGAAACAGCTGAGTGAGACCTGGGGCTGAAACATTCATAATGTCGGCCAGAACTGTTGTGGACACAATTAATAGCCTTTTGAGTATCTACATGGCCAGCTCTCATATCAGAAGGTCCCTAGAGATTGAGTGGCTGTCATTTCTGACTGATGTCTTGATGGATGATCAGATAAACAAAGTCTAGGATTACCAGAGTGAGGATGAAAGTTCAGGACTGGGTGGTACAAAGATGAGGCATACTGGTGAGGAACTTCATGAGAGATACCTTTGGTCCAGTTTGTTAGACTGAGGACCCGGTCCAGGCTGCCCAGAGTACAGGAGAAAAGTGTAGGGAGCCGTGCGTGGCTGCAGTTTGGGGCGGGAGATGAGGCCAGGACAGTGTACAGGACAGACGGAGATAGATGGGAAGTCAGTCAGTGGTGGATCTATCCCTGCTGGCCACACATTAGACCGTTTCTGAGACCAGCAGGTAGCCTGGGGCTTCTTTGCCAGCTCTGTCCCTTACCGAATCCCTTCTCAGCTCTGAGCCTCCACCTCAGGCACAGAGACTCCAGGGACACAGTTAATGTGCCAATGGAGACCGTGTGTGAAATAAGCTGGGTTAGACGGCTTTCCCACGGGTGTCTGGCCAGAGAAGAGGGAAGAGGGGGATTTACTGGAGCAGGCAGGAGGGTTGGCAGCTGCTCGGCTCACTTATCAGCTACGTTCCCACCTAACCTGCCTTAGGGTCACAGAGCAAGCAGAGGTTCTGCCTTCCCTGATGGGCGGAGCCTGGATCATAAGAAGGGTGTGTCGGTGAAGCCTGGGTGGAAAAGGCTCCGGGCCATCGTCCCTAGGATCACAGCCCTGTCTTTACCATTGCGGTTCCCATCCATGCTCTGCAGCCAGTTCCGCACAAACAGTAACTCGCCTTGGACAGGTTCGTTTTCCTTAGCACTCAGCTGGGCAGCCAATCCTGCCTCCCAGGGCTTTCAGTGGCTCCCTTCCCTGATGCGGCCCAGCCTCCCTCCCACCTTCTAGGTACTCAGATGGTCATGGAAGAGGGAATGGGCCTCTCCTGGACCCCGGGGACTCTTAAGGAAGGGTCAGGACAGATGCAAAGGTGGCTGTCACCTCCTCCTGGCTGGCATCTGGAGGAAAGACCCAGTCCAGGCGAAAGCGGTGCTGGCGTCCTCGGTGGCAGGTGGTGATGGTCCCCCCTTGCCCAGGCTCTACGCTCACCAGGCTGGAAGGTATCCCTTCAGCTGGTCTCAGTCGACAGAGCACACGGATATTGCCTGCAGTGGGGACCACATCAGCAGATTGTCTCAGCCCTGAAACATAGAAAGCTCCTCCTCTTCCACCCTGTAGTCTCTGCTGCTCCACTCCCAAAGCCGATCTTACCCTTGAGTTCCAAAAGCCGCCCTGAGCATCCAGCTGGGGGGCCCTGCTGCCCCTCTGGGAGCTGAGTCCTAGCCCCTCCAGCTGACAGAGCCCCAAGGGCCCAGGATACCTGTGAGAAAGACAAAGACAAGCCCTCAGGCAACTCCAAGGGAAGCGGGGTACCGAGAGCACCAGGACCAGCTGTGGTGGCACACAACTTTTCGATGGGTACAGACCCCTGAGGGCATCATTCAGTGAGTCTGAGACAGAACCTAGGAATCACAGGCAAAAATATTCATTCTATGGTCTGTCCTTCTGGGCTTCTCAGCAATCGCCAGTTTTCACAGCTCAGAAATGAGGACTCAGCCAGGTGGTGGTGGCGCACAGTTAATCCCAGCACTCAGAAGGTCTCTGAGTTCAAGACCACCCTGGTCTACAGAGTGAGTTCCAGGACAGTCAGGGCTACACAGAGAAACCCTGTCTCAAAACCACTGCTCCCCTCCTCCCACCCCCAAAAAAAGAAAGAAATGAGGACACTTTGGGCCACTCAGAAATCATTCTGATCCAAGTGCCTACAACTGACCGGCTGGTACAGGCAGCTCGTGAGGGACAGAAAGAAAGAAACAATGACAGAGGCTCCCTCCCCTAGGAAGAACAGCAAACAGGCTGCTCACAGCGAAGGAACTAGGAGAGGAGCGGTCCTGACCTGGCCCTGGGCCTCACTCAGCGAGCCCTGACAACTCTGAGTAAAGGTGCTGACCAGTCCTCGGAGGTCCCCACAGCCCTGGCGAAGGCTGGCCATCCGTGCCCGAAGTCCTAGAGGAGGAAGGCCATTGAGAGGAAAAGCACAGATTCCAGAGCTTTCCCAGAGACCGTTTCCTCCCAGCCCTTACCTGCCAGCTGTCCGTGAACTTGCTGCAGCTCCTGTCTGCAGTTCTGCTCTGTCTCCTGCTGGAGCTGCTGGAGGGCCCCTCGAAGGCCCTGCAGCTGCTTCTCCTGCACCCCCAGCTGTCCCTCCCAAGCCCACTTCAGTCACTGAGGAAACAGGCACCAGGCCCTGCCCAGACTTCACCCCGCCCCCGGCATCCCAGCCCTCCTTACCCCTAGGTCCCCTCGCCTACCTGGACCCGCAGGGCTTCTGTGGTGTCTTGGGCCTCTTGAAGCTGGCCCTGCAGCTCCAACAGAGCCCCTGCCTCCTCCTGGAGGAGAGTGGGAGCCAGGTGGGCCATCGAGCCAAACGGGAACTCAGGAAAGGGGATCTTATAATATATATATAATTCCATTTCACAGACGGAAGATCAAATCAAGGGTGGCAAGTGACGAGACCCCTGGTACCCGACTCTGTGCGGGGCTCCCTGTCCAGTCTCTCTGTTCTCCTAAGGTTACTCAAAGAGACCAAGAATTGTGGTGGGGTGTGTGTAGAGGGGGGTCTTCTATGAGCATCAGCCTCACTGACGGAGCTACCCTGCAAAGAGTTTCTCCCTCGTTAGAGATGGCCCCCTACCAAAGCAAACACAGAGTCCCGGGGAGGTGTAAGTACTATACCAGGAGCCTGGACTTCGGACACCACAACAGCCAAATGGAGTACCTGTGGAGCTCTGGTGAGGGAGCCAGGGCCCCAGTGCAGCAGGAGGTCCTGAGTCAGGCTCAAGCTCTGCTTCAAGGCTTCATTCTCCAGTGTGAGGTGCTGAACTCTTTTCTCTGAATCTGTCACCCCCTGACAGAGAGGGATGCCATCAGGGTTCACCTGCAATTCCCTTGATTTTCAGTCTGTTCCCTGGGCCCCTGTTCCCCAAAAGCCTCACCGCTCCCAGGCGCAGTCTGCTCAGCTCTTCTTCCTGCTGCTGCAGCTGCTGTCTCAGCTCTTCCAGCTGCGGAGGAGTCAGGGACAGGATGGGATTCCTTTTTTGGGTCTCGCACCCGTCCAGTCCCCGGTGCTCCTGATTCTCCTTACCTGTCCAAGAATAAGCTGTTCCAGCCTCTGCCAGGCCCTCTGTTCCTCCTCCAGCTGGGGAGGCTGATGTTCCTGGGTCTCATCCCCTGGTACCTCATCCAGGATGGGAGTGGGTTGAGAGGCGCTTTCTTCTTGGGACAGAGACCCTAAAGAGAGGTGAGCCCAGTTACAAGTAAGGAAATGTCTGGCCTAGAGAGCAGAGACGATTCTGATAGACCCTGCTCCCCACCACCACCACCACCACCACACAGTGGTGCCCTTTACAAACCATCTGGAGTGGAGGGCTGCCCTGGGCAGGCTGGCAGTGTCCCCTGGAGCAGGGCCTGCCTCCCCCTAGGGCTCCGTGTCCACGCCAGAAGGGCCAAGAGCTGACTTGTTACTGTCAACAGTGGGGGGACCTCACCAGGCTGTGAAGGAAATAAGCGGAGCAGAGGAGTTGGGGGCGTGAGAAGCACAGAGGCCCGGGAACGGAATAACTGCTCTTGGCGGTGTGCTCACCTTGCTCGGGTCAGGAGTCCCGCAGCTCTCTTCTGCCCCCAACTGGACGGAGAGGAACTCAGCAAGGCGCATGAGCGCCTCTTCCAGAGACACCTCAGGTGCTCCACCCTCGGCTCCTTTCTGACCATCCTCAGATTCTGAGCAGCCTTCGAGGCCAAGTAGTGGAAGGAAGAGGCATTCCGTGTATCACCAGTTGGAGGCTAGACCTTTCTCCCTCCCAGGGAGGTCACAGTACTCCAACTGCTGGGCTCCCTCAAGACCCTTGTCCTGGAGCTCCTTGGCATGCACCTACCCGCTAGGCTGTTCAGCTCGGTCCACAGCTCTGATGTGAACTGATCGGGGCGGCGACGACCCCTCGGTTTGCCACCGCTTCTCTGAGAAGAGAGTATGGGGCGACAGTGAGGGTGCTGGCAGCATGGGGGGGGGGTGTCTTTCCCTTCTGAAACGGGCCAAGGGGGTTGGGCTGAGGTCTATGACCCCAACACCTGCAGAGACAAAACTGGTCTCGGAACAGCCCTATTCCCCAGAGCCGGCACCTAAGGACATACATAAGCTGCACAGGTCGGCCACGACCAGATCTCAGGGTGATGGTGGTAACCGACCGGGATGCAGGCCCACTCCGCTCACCTGGGTGGGGTCGCCGGGGTCCGTGGCCGCCGCAGCCCCGCCATCCCTGCGAAAAAGACTGTAGAAGATGTAGATGAGCAGAGAGTAAAAGGCGTACATGGGGGCGCGGGGCGGCAGAGAGCACCGCTTCGCGCCGCCCCGCGTCCCCGCACCAGGACTCTGCACCCGCCCGCCGCAGTGCCCATGCGCATGCTCGCGGCGGCCGCCCCCACGGACGATCTTCCGCGGGCGGAGGGCGCACGCTAAGGGGCGACCGCGGGGAGCCGCAAAAGCTGTCCTTATTGCCCTGTCAAGCGTCTTTTTTTTTTTCTTCAGTCCCTATTTTGCAAAGAGTGGATGCAAAGAGCTCCAACGGCTGTCTAGCCTCTTTTGGGAATCCTGGCCCGCGCTCCGCGGAGAATCCCCCGCCAAGGTACGCGCACACGCTTAACAGCCTTCGGTGCACAGGTGTCCAACCTCTCCTCCCCCGGTAGCCCAGCCCAGGCCCCACCCCTGCCCCGGAGCCCGACCCAGTCCAGCCCAGCTCTCCCCTTCGGTCACATCCTCGCCCCTCCCACAGCCCAGCAACACTCCTTGGAAAGCCTCACCCCCGCCCCGCCGCACAGCTCCGCCTTGGACCCCTCGAAGCGCCGCCTCTCTTCTCTTAGTCCGAGCCTATTCCTCGGAAACCCCGCCTACATCCCCGACTCGGATCCCGGACCCTTCAGCAGCCCGGTGCACGAGCAAACCCGTGCTGAAGCCGGTGCGCACGCCTCTCATCCCAGCACTCGGGAGGCAGAGGCAGGCGGATCTCTGTGAGTTTGAGGCCAGCCTGGGCTACAGAGCGAGATCCAGGACAGTCGGGGCTCCACAGGGAGATCCGATCTAACACACAAACCCGTACCAACCATCCTCTGGCCTTGACCTCCACCCTTCCAGCCCCACCCCTCTAGAGCCTCCCGCAGGCCCCGCCCCGCCGCTCTAGCCGGAGCTCCTCTCGTTGGTGGAGGTAAGCGGGCGGCTGTGGTCAGCGCCACCGGAGGGCGGGCCAGGAGGCGGGGCTGACTGTTGTGGGCGGGTTCGGGCCTTCTGCTCGGTGTCGCCAGGTGAGTGCGGCGCGCCGGCTGGTTCCCGCCGGCCAGCGCTGCCGCTCCTTCCCTACCGGGGCGTGCAAGACCATTTCTCTCCAAGTGCTAGGACTCGGGCCCAGGCCACAGCAAGGGACTGCGCGTCTTACTGTCCCGAGGACCTCGCTTGGGTGCCAAGATTCCAATCCCAGTCCCCTTCCCCAATAAATTAGTCTTTCTCCCCTGTAGGTGAGTCCAGGGACCTCAGAGCTCCGAAGAGTTTGGGGGCTTGAATCTAGTCTCACGTCTACTCAAAGGTCTCTGGAGCTTGAGATTCCTGAAGAGCGGCACTAAGGACTCCAAAATCGCCGGCCTCTGGGCTTTCTTCTCTCCAGATTCGAAGATCCCTTCCCTGCCTCCCCAGACTCACTAGACTGTTGAAGGTGCCATGGTCTCCAAACCCAGGAGCGAATGGAGTACCCTCCTGTCCCACCTGGTGCTGGCAGCCGTGTCTCTGCATGCGGCGGTGAGCTCGGTACAGGTGAATATTCTTACTTTGACAAACCATGTAGATCCCTGCACTAGAAAGAGGGTGGCAGGAGGCATGGATGAGGCAGGGTCTCCTTGACAGCCCCAAACTCTTTAGAACGGTGACTCCTTAACATGTCTCTCTTCTCTGTGTCAACAGTCCAGCCGAGGAGCTGCTGCGGGCTTCCTGCTCCAGACCTTTGCAGCCATCGCTATGTTGGCCCCGGGGCTGAACACACACGAAGACTGTCTCGCTGGAGCTTGGGTTGCCACGGTCATCGGTCTGCCTCTTCTGGCCTTCGACTTTCACTGGGTGAATGGGGACCGCTCTTCTGCCAACCTGCTCCTGGGAGGCGGCATGGTGTTGGCGGTGGCTGGTGACCACCTTGGCCCTGAAGGGTGCTCTGTGGCTGGGCAGGCAGTGCTGCTGGTGGTGGCCGTGACCATCCTTATTGTAGCTGTTTTCACAGCCAACACTTACGGGATGTGGGGGGGTGCCATACTGGGCGTGGCCGGGCTCCTGAGCCGCCTGGAAGAGGACAGGCTGCTGTTGCTGCCCAAGGAGGATGTCTGTCGCTGGGCCCTGGCTGCGGGCAGTTGGGCCTATTGCAGGGCCCTGCAGACACAGCGCCCACAGTGGGAGTGATGGTGGGCCTCACACAGCAAGATGGGGCTTCTGTTCCAGGTACCACTTCCCTGCTCCTGGCCTCCATTAGGGATAGGATTTCTTTCCTCTGGAAGTGAGGCTGCTGTGGACTCACTAATCTGGGGCAGAGCGTGGATGCGCTGTCCCTTCTCTGGTTGTGCATGTGTGGAAGCTTGCCTAAACCAGAATGCAACAGGTCTTCAGCATACTTGGGGGCCCGATTCTGGGAGGAACATGGTTGTGAGTCAGAGGCCGGATTTCCAATAAACCTTAGGAATATATGGGAGTACGGAATCTGCTTCTTCTTGAGCTAGCTTCCCTAAGGCCTCCAAGGGTGTCAGCTGATTTCCCTGAGTAAAGAAGGGGTGATGTGCTTTAACTAGTAGAAGGCATTATTCACCTTGGCATTCTGGCAGAGTTGCCAAGACAACCCCAGTGTGCTGGGCTTGGTGGTGCAGGCCTTCAATCCCAGTTGGGAGGCAGAGACAAGCGGATCTCTGTGAGTTCTGGGCCAGGCTAGCCTGCATAGGTTGAATTCCATAATGGCCAGTGCTACATATAGTGAGATCCTGTATTAAGAGAGAGAGAGAGAGAGAGAGAGAGAGAGAGAGAGAGAGAGAGAGAAAGGAAGAAAAACAGACACTCCATGCTGAAAAGACAGTTTTTGGGTCTTGGTTTCCTGGGACAAAGTAGATTTGCATATATCCTTGGTGGACCTGGCAGGTGGCCCTCTGGGGCAGTGACCTTCACAAGCTGATGGCCGAGTTAGTAAAGGGCAGAAGAGGTCTGTACCTCAGTGATTCCCAGGAACTGCACATCCCTGCTTTTGACACCCTCTTGTCTGTACAAGCCACGTCTTACAACTTAAGACCCTCACCTTCCTCTATGGACTCGTTTTTTTTTTTTCAGCCTCCAATCAATCCTGGGGCTGGGCCGAGGGGTGGGTTAGTGTACCCAGCCCTTCGCTGTTCCTGTTCTCGCTGTCCCGTCGACGTTTATCCCGCCGCGCAAGAGTGGTAGTCACTGGGTGTTTCACTATAGTCAGCTAGGCCAGAGCCTGGCGCACGCAAGCCCGAATTTCCGTGGACAAAGGCACAGGCACGCCCCGACATGGGAGCCTTGGGGGCGCTTTGCACGCGCCAGGAGTCGAAGTCTGGGTGTTTCTCCCGACCCCGGAGCAGGTTGCACCTCTCCAGGGGCGCACACGCCCCCACGCGGCCCCCTACCCCCCGCCCCTCCAGCCTCCTGGACCCCACTTCTGCTCACCTTCCACAGTGGGTGGGCCCTCCGGCATTCTCGCCCGTCCATTGGCCGTGGCCACCGCATCGTCTGGACCCTCGCGGCGCTCCCATTGGCTCGCGCAGGGCGCACGTGACCAGCAGGGCGAGGGGGCGGTGGCGTGGGGGGGGGTCCGCAGCGAAAACAAAGATGGC